AGAATATAAGTGTATTTCTTGCATCAGAACTCAGTTGGGACTCCTTACAAGGTGGGGTGGGCGAGAGCTAAAAAAACCCCCAACCTCGTCACCATCTCCGCTGGTGTTTGTAGATTTTTTTGGGGCACTGATTGCGCAACTTTCTATGATGTTGTCCGTACCCTCAACATACGCGATGTCACATGCAGGTACCCCGCCAGGTACCCCGCCAAATGCGTCCATCCCAATGTCGCAGCGCATTCTCCTAGTTTCCCAGAGCGCGTGTACCAAATTACCACAGGGAAATTTCACAGAACCTATCTGTATCGTTCTATAACGCAGTCGATTTTTGTCGGAAACGAACTGAAAAGTTTGTGTGGCCACGATTGGCGGGCAGACTCTAAAGGTGCTGGTGGATGCGATGCTCGCGAATCCGGATGGATACTACGCGTCGTTCGCGACGACTGGTTATGACTCGGGTGCGGCGCGCGGGCAGTTTAAGTCGGACCCGCTTCCGCCGCCGCCTAAGGACAAGAAGGGCGGGAAGGACGGAGGGAAGAAGGGCGGGAAGGATGGAGGGAAGAATGGCGGCGGCAAGAATGGCGGCGATAAGTTCGGCAATGTTGTCGGTAAGCCCATAATAAAGGGAGACTTCCGCGCCCACTCTTGCCTCGCCTACTCTTGCCTCGCCTACTCTGGCCTCGCCTACTCTGGCCTCGCCTACTCTTGCCTCGCCCACTCTTGCCTCGCCCACTCTTGCCTCGCCCACTCTTGCCTCGCCCACTCTTGCCTCGCCCACTCTTGCCTCGCCCACTCTTGCCTCGCCCACTCTTGCCTCGCCCACTCTTGCCTCGCCCACTCTTGCCTCGCCCACTCTTGCCTCGCCCACTCTTGCCTCCCCCACTCTTGCCTACCTCTTGCCACCATCTATGCATGCTTAGGAATCAAGCACCCACCGTGCCCCCTCCGGTTCTCACGGTCTCACAGCGCGTCTCACAGCGCTTCTCCGATTCATTTTCTCTGCATTTTTTCCTTGTCACAACCATTCTTTATTTTCCGTGATTCCGCCATTTCGTGCAGGCGTGCTCGCAGCGCGTGTCAATGGCTCAAATGTTGACCTCAGCGGTGACGTCAACGCCACCGGCTGCATTGACCTCGCCGTCTTTCTGTAAGCTTCTCCTTCTCTCCTCTCCTTCTCTCTTCTCCTACTCACCATCTTCCGGTTAGCTGTCCCATCATTCCCATCCGTCCCCCCAACCTTCGTTCAGTACACTTCTCCCCTCAGTTCACCTCTCTGCCCCTCTCTGCCCCTCTCTGCCCCTCCTTGCCTCCTTACTACAACATTCACTACCACGTCCGCGTGAGCCTAAAAAACCTCTTGCCCCTCCTTGCCCCTCCCTGCCCCGCCTTGCCCCTCCCTGCCCCTCCCTGCCCCTCCTTGCCTTTGCTTACCACGTACCCCCGCAGCAACGTCACAGCTACCAACTACGACTTTGCTTACCACCCGCCAAACACCCGCCCATCCCTGCCCCTCTTTGCCACCCACCCTTCCCCCCCCCGCAGCAACGCCACGACCAACGACTACGACATTTATTACCACGTCCGCGTGAGTCTGAACGACTCTGGCGAGCCCACTGGTGTCGTCATCAAGACCGGCGCTGACGTGGCACTCACCGTGCTCACCAGTGACGCCACGTGGACCAATCGCACGCTCTCAAACGCCGAGCGCGCCAAGCTGGGCGGCAAACTGACTCCCAAGGGCAGGAAGGGCAAGCAGCCGCCTCCCCCGCTTCCCCCTCCCGTCGGATACAACTACGAAACCACCGGCACTTGGCTAAGCGCCAGTACTTTGACGGCGGATAATGGGCAGACGTACAAGCAGCTGGTGGATGCCATGCTGGCTGCGCCCGGCTCTTTCTCTGCTCTCGTCTACACCAAAACGTTCGAGGCTGGAGCAGCGAGTGGTGCTTTCGAGAATGTCACCTTGGTTGATGGTGAAGGGTCTGGCAAATTGGCCATTAAATTCAGGTACGGCCAAAGCGCTGACACATACACCTACAAACCGTCTGGCAAATTGGCCGTTAAATTCAGGTACGGCCAAAGCGCTGACACATACACCTACAAACCGTCTGGCAAATTGGCCGTTAAACTCAGGTACGGCCAAAGTGCGGACACATATGCCTACAAACCATCTGGCAAATTGGCCATTAAATTCAGGTACGGCCAAAGCGCGGACACATCCAGCACCACCAAACGGGGATCCCCGTGACTGATAGGAGCAAAGAGTATTCAAGTATTTATATTGATAGTAACTTGGATATGGTGTTTATGTGGCTTTTGTACTTGTTTGATTACAGTTGCATTTGTATACTTAAACAATGCAGTAACCTTGATGCTTTATCAACGCATGTTAACAAACCAACTACACCCACAAGCAACCCCTTCCTGTTTCCACACACAAGGCCCTCCCACCAACACAAGTCCCACTGACAGTTGTTAGTAGTCTTCTATGTTCCTGTGAATGTCCAATGCCATCTTTTGACAACATCAAACATCACTAATACATTCTACCGGTAGATGTGTGCATAAGGAGTGTGAAAATCTCTCATTGGAAGCCTCACTTGCCAGAAAAGCTACGTTAACATAACGCCCAATACTATGGCTTGGTGCACAAAAGGGGTTGATAAAGTTGATAAATTGATGTTTCGTCGAACCCATATACTTCAGCGCACCCGCACCCAACTGTTACACTGCACCTGTGCAGCTGGACGAGGCAACCTTTGGCCCAAACCATGGCCAAGGCGCCAAACCAAGCTCCAACCCAAGGCCGGAAGCGACCCAATGGGTGCCTGTGCTTTGTCGCTATAAACCTGTGCCTGCTTCGTCTCCACACCTTGGCAGCCACAAGCAACCTGCTGCCAAATGTTGATATTTGTGATAGGCTGTAGTGAGGTGCTCCTTAGTGAGTACAACTCAGTTAGGGTTTGCTATTGGTATCACCCACATTCCTAATCTCATCATTCCGTTGCGTTCCTACTTTGAGATGGTATCACGAGTAGGTTAGTTCCTCGTTCCTTCCTAGCACGCGCCCTCCGCGCCCTCCGCGCCTTAGCCTTCGCGCCCTCCGTGCCCTCTCCGCGCCTTAGCGCCCTCCTCCTCCGTGCGTCAGCGCCCTCCGCGCCCCTAGCCCGTCGTCCTAGCCTGTCGCCCAGGCCCACGCCCGGGCGACAGGCTACACCTGTAGGAGCGGAGAAAACGGGGATCCGAGTCTGTCGCATATCAGTGCTCTGTGCTGACTCAGGTAGTAAAACAGGTCAACGGAGTCAACGGAGTCAATGCAGTCAACGCACCTGCTGCTCCGTCGCTCAGCTGCCCGTACTCATTCGACCCCCACGTAGACAGGCTCCCATCAATCCCCAGGGAGAAAGTCAAGTCCATGGAGTCAACGGAGTCAGCGTACCTGCTGCTCTGCTCTGTGCCGTCGCCCAGCTGTCCATATTCGTTCGACCCCCACGTGAACAGGCTCCCATCGATCCCCACCGCCGCGCTGTGTTCCAGCCCGCATGCCACGCTAACAAGCGCCACGGGCCGCCCGTCCCGTGCGCGGAACTTCTCCCGCGCAATCCGCAGCGGCGCGCGCTGGCAGCGCCACGTGTGCGGATCCCCCCGCAGCCCCGCGCGGTGGCTGGTCTGCCCGCGGAGATTGAATCCCCAGAGGTAGAGCGCGCTTTCTACGGGCTGGGGGAGACCGGCGATCGCGGCGGAAGATGCGGCGGGAGGTACGGCGGGAGGTACGACGGGAGAATCGATAAAGCTGGCGTTGTCGCGAACACGACCGTCCATTGGTACGTCGAATGGAGCCTAGCTAGCCTGTGAATCAAGTTGAGCTGCACGATTTGGGCTCGAGGGGCTCGGCGGAAGCCAACGGAGAGGCGGGGTGGAAGCTGCGGAGCGAGTAGCGCGGGTAATCAGCGACGGCACGTACGCTTTACATGAAATGCGGAAGCGCAGGAAGCTGGAATGTGGCAGGCTTGCTGAGAAACCAAGTGATCGAACTCGAATGGTCACACTCCCCTTGATATTATGCACAGGAATTTCCGAACCAGGCCTCGAAAGCAACACGACCAAATCTGTCACGTTGAGGGCTTTCGGTTCGGCGCGCGGCACTTTTAGAGCGGTGTAAGAGCTCCAAGTCGATTCGGCTGCATGTAAAAGATGATAACTAGTGCTCTTTGAATTTGTCAGCAATAGAAAAACCTTCGTTGTAAGCTGGATGAAAGCAAGGTTGGTGTGCTAGTATAATCACTCTCAACAAGAGCACAGAAATCGTCAACATAGTGTTATGTACTTCAACAGACGATGTGTTGCGACGAATCCAGTTTGTGTTCTTCTCTGGAAAATCTCCCTGACCCACCTGCGCTTATTGCGTGTGCGCCGGAGCGGAGCACAAGCCTCCCTGAGGAAAGCTGCCACGCACTTCCACCTGAAATTCTCCGTTTTCACCATTTCCGTGTCTGACGTGTACTCCATCCGTGCTCTGCGGCGAATCGTCACCAACTCTGCGGTCCGTGACAAGAGAATGATGCTTCGACTAGGTTGCCCGTTCGACTAAAAAATCTCCAGAATATAAGTGTATTTCTTGCATCAGAACTCAGTTGGGACTCCTTACAAGGTGGGGTGGGCGAGAGCTAAAAAAACCCCCAACCTCGTCACCATCTCCGCTGGTGTTTGTAGATTTTTTTGGGGCACTGATTGCGCAACTTTCTATGATGTTGTCCGTACCCTCAACATACGCGATGTCACATGCAGGTACCCCGCCAGGTACCCCGCCAAATGCGTCCATCCCAATGTCGCAGCGCATTCTCCTAGTTTCCCAGAGCGCGTGTACCAAATTACCACAGGGAAATTTCACAGAACCTATCTGTATCGTTCTATAACGCAGTCGATTTTTGTCGGAAACGAACTGAAAAGTTTGTGTGGCCACGATTGGCGGGCAGACTCTAAAGGTGCTGGTGGATGCGATGCTCGCGAATCCGGATGGATACTACGCGTCGTTCGCGACGACTGGTTATGACTCGGGTGCGGCGCGCGGGCAGTTTAAGTCGGACCCGCTTCCGCCGCCGCCTAAGGACAAGAAGGGCGGGAAGGACGGAGGGAAGAAGGGCGGGAAGGATGGAGGGAAGAATGGCGGCGGCAAGAATGGCGGCGATAAGTTCGGCAATGTTGTCGGTAAGCCCATAATAAAGGGAGACTTCCGCGCCCACTCTTGCCTCGCCTACTCTTGCCTCGCCTACTCTGGCCTCGCCTACTCTGGCCTCGCCTACTCTTGCCTCGCCCACTCTTGCCTCGCCCACTCTTGCCTCGCCCACTCTTGCCTCGCCCACTCTTGCCTCGCCCACTCTTGCCTCGCCCACTCTTGCCTCGCCCACTCTTGCCTCGCCCACTCTTGCCTCGCCCACTCTTGCCTCGCCCACTCTTGCCTCGCCCACTCTTGCCTCCCCCACTCTTGCCTACCTCTTGCCACCATCTATGCATGCTTAGGAATCAAGCACCCACCGTGCCCCCTCCGGTTCTCACGGTCTCACAGCGCGTCTCACAGCGCTTCTCCGATTCATTTTCTCTGCATTTTTTCCTTGTCACAACCATTCTTTATTTTCCGTGATTCCGCCATTTCGTGCAGGCGTGCTCGCAGCGCGTGTCAATGGCTCAAATGTTGACCTCAGCGGTGACGTCAACGCCACCGGCTGCATTGACCTCGCCGTCTTTCTGTAAGCTTCTCCTTCTCTCCTCTCCTTCTCTCTTCTCCTACTCACCATCTTCCGGTTAGCTGTCCCATCATTCCCATCCGTCCCCCCAACCTTCGTTCAGTACACTTCTCCCCTCAGTTCACCTCTCTGCCCCTCTCTGCCCCTCTCTGCCCCTCCTTGCCTCCTTACTACAACATTCACTACCACGTCCGCGTGAGCCTAAAAAACCTCTTGCCCCTCCTTGCCCCTCCCTGCCCCGCCTTGCCCCTCCCTGCCCCTCCCTGCCCCTCCTTGCCTTTGCTTACCACGTACCCCCGCAGCAACGTCACAGCTACCAACTACGACTTTGCTTACCACCCGCCAAACACCCGCCCATCCCTGCCCCTCTTTGCCACCCACCCTTCCCCCCCCCGCAGCAACGCCACGACCAACGACTACGACATTTATTACCACGTCCGCGTGAGTCTGAACGACTCTGGCGAGCCCACTGGTGTCGTCATCAAGACCGGCGCTGACGTGGCACTCACCGTGCTCACCAGTGACGCCACGTGGACCAATCGCACGCTCTCAAACGCCGAGCGCGCCAAGCTGGGCGGCAAACTGACTCCCAAGGGCAGGAAGGGCAAGCAGCCGCCTCCCCCGCTTCCCCCTCCCGTCGGATACAACTACGAAACCACCGGCACTTGGCTAAGCGCCAGTACTTTGACGGCGGATAATGGGCAGACGTACAAGCAGCTGGTGGATGCCATGCTGGCTGCGCCCGGCTCTTTCTCTGCTCTCGTCTACACCAAAACGTTCGAGGCTGGAGCAGCGAGTGGTGCTTTCGAGAATGTCACCTTGGTTGATGGTGAAGGGTCTGGCAAATTGGCCATTAAATTCAGGTACGGCCAAAGCGCTGACACATACACCTACAAACCGTCTGGCAAATTGGCCGTTAAATTCAGGTACGGCCAAAGCGCTGACACATACACCTACAAACCGTCTGGCAAATTGGCCGTTAAACTCAGGTACGGCCAAAGTGCGGACACATATGCCTACAAACCATCTGGCAAATTGGCCATTAAATTCAGGTACGGCCAAAGCGCGGACACATCCAGCACCACCAAACGGGGATCCCCGTGACTGATAGGAGCAAAGAGTATTCAAGTATTTATATTGATAGTAACTTGGATATGGTGTTTATGTGGCTTTTGTACTTGTTTGATTACAGTTGCATTTGTATACTTAAACAATGCAGTAACCTTGATGCTTTATCAACGCATGTTAACAAACCAACTACACCCACAAGCAACCCCTTCCTGTTTCCACACACAAGGCCCTCCCACCAACACAAGTCCCACTGACAGTTGTTAGTAGTCTTCTATGTTCCTGTGAATGTCCAATGCCATCTTTTGACAACATCAAACATCACTAATACATTCTACCGGTAGATGTGTGCATAAGGAGTGTGAAAATCTCTCATTGGAAGCCTCACTTGCCAGAAAAGCTACGTTAACATAACGCCCAATACTATGGCTTGGTGCACAAAAGGGGTTGATAAAGTTGATAAATTGATGTTTCGTCGAACCCATATACTTCAGCGCACCCGCACCCAACTGTTACACTGCACCTGTGCAGCTGGACGAGGCAACCTTTGGCCCAAACCATGGCCAAGGCGCCAAACCAAGCTCCAACCCAAGGCCGGAAGCGACCCAATGGGTGCCTGTGCTTTGTCGCTATAAACCTGTGCCTGCTTCGTCTCCACACCTTGGCAGCCACAAGCAACCTGCTGCCAAATGTTGATATTTGTGATAGGCTGTAGTGAGGTGCTCCTTAGTGAGTACAACTCAGTTAGGGTTTGCTATTGGTATCACCCACATTCCTAATCTCATCATTCCGTTGCGTTCCTACTTTGAGATGGTATCACGAGTAGGTTAGTTCCTCGTTCCTTCCTAGCACGCGCCCTCCGCGCCCTCCGCGCCTTAGCCTTCGCGCCCTCCGTGCCCTCTCCGCGCCTTAGCGCCCTCCTCCTCCGTGCGTCAGCGCCCTCCGCGCCCCTAGCCCGTCGTCCTAGCCTGTCGCCCAGGCCCACGCCCGGGCGACAGGCTACACCTGTAGGAGCGGAGAAAACGGGGATCCGAGTCTGTCGCATCTCAGTGCTCTGTGCTGACTCAGGTAGTAAAACAGGTCAACGGAGTCAACGGAGTCAATGCAGTCAACGCACCTGCTGCTCCGTCGCTCAGCTGCCCGTACTCATTCGACCCCCACGTAGACAGGCTCCCATCAATCCCCAGGGAGAAAGTCAAGTCCATGGAGTCAACGGAGTCAGCGTACCTGCTGCTCTGCTCTGTGCCGTCGCCCAGCTGTCCATATTCGTTCGACCCCCACGTGAACAGGCTCCCATCGATCCCCACCGCCGCGCTGTGTTCCAGCCCGCATGCCACGCTAACAAGCGCCACGGGCCGCCCGTCCCGCGCGCGGAACTTCTCCCGCGCAATCCGCAGCGGCGCGCGCTGGCAGCGCCACGTGTGCGGATCCCCCTGCAGCCCCGCGCGGTGGCTGGTCTGCCCGCGGAGATTGAATCCCCAGAGGTAGAGCGCGCTTTCTACGGGCTGGGGGAGACCGGCGATCGCGGCGGAAGATGCGGCGGGAGGTACGGCGGGAGGTACGACGGGAGAATCGATAAAGCTGGCGTTGTCGCGAACACGACCGTCCATTGGTACGTCGAATGGAGCCTAGCTAGCCTGTGAATCAAGTTGAGCTGCACGATTTGGGCTCGAGGGGCTCGGCGGAAGCCAACGGAGAGGCGGGGTGGAAGCTGCGGAGCGAGTAGCGCGGGTAATCAGCGACGGCACGCACGCTTTACATGAAATGCGGAAGCGCAGGAAGCTGGAATGTGGCAGGCTTGCTGAGAAACCAAGTGATCGAACTCGAATGGTCACACTCCCCTTGATATTATGCACAGGAATTTCCGAACCAGGCCTCGAAAGCAACACGACCAAATCTGTCACGTTGAGGGCTTTCGGTTCGGCGCGCGGCACTTTTAGAGCGGTGTAAGAGCTCCAAGTCGATTCGGCTGCATGTAAAAGATGATAACTAGTGCTCTTTGAATTTGTCAGCAATAGAAAAACCTTCGTTGTAAGCTGGATGAAAGCAAGGTTGGTGTGCTAGTATAATCACTCTCAACAAGAGCACAGAAATCGTCAACATAGTGTTATGTACTTCAACAGACGATGTGTTGCGACGAATCCAGTTTGTGTTCTTCTCTGGAAAATCTCCCTGACCCACCTGCGCTTATTGCGTGTGCGCCGGAGCGGAGCACAAGCCTCCCTGAGGAAAGCTGCCACGCACTTCCACCTGAAATTCTCCGTTTTCACCATTTCCGTGTCTGACGTGTACTCCATCCGTGCTCTGCGGCGAATCGTCACCAACTCTGCGGTCCGTGACAAGAGAATGATGCTTCGACTAGGTTGCCCGTTCGACTAAAAAATCTCCAGAATATAAGTGTATTTCTTGCATCAGAACTCAGTTGGGACTCCTTACAAGGTGGGGTGGGCGAGAGCTAAAAAAACCCCCAACCTCGTCACCATCTCCGCTGGTGTTTGTAGATTTTTTTGGGGCACTGATTGCGCAACTTTCTATGATGTTGTCCGTACCCTCAACATACGCGATGTCACATGCAGGTACCCCGCCAGGTACCCCGCCAAATGCGTCCATCCCAATGTCGCAGCGCATTCTCCTAGTTTCCCAGAGCGCGTGTACCAAATTACCACAGGGAAATTTCACAGAACCTATCTGTATCGTTCTATAACGCAGTCGATTTTTGTCGGAAACGAACTGAAAAGTTTGTGTGGCCACCACATGCTCAGCTTTCAATTAGAGGATAAATACCACCGCTGCTGATTCTGGCAGGCATCTTCATTCGCATTCTGATCAAGCAGCTGGATTCCTTTTTCTCAAATCGCTAGGAACTAATTCAGCAGCTAGGGGATTTTGCACGCTATGGGGCTCCACTGTTACCTCAGCTTGTCCATTTTTCTCCTCGTCGTCACAGCATCCATCGGTGAGTGTCATGTGAATATCTACCTCTGCTACCTGTGATCCGTATAATCACGTGAGGGGCTTCATTTTCCTCTCGCGAAGAAGTCTGAGGTGAATTCTACGCTGATCCGGTGGCTTCTAGCCACTGAGGGAACTCGTGGCTGTTGTGTCTCCTGTCTCCACTCTGACCGTGGGGGTGAGTTTTGCTCAGGCATTCTTGCCGGATTCTGCGGCGAGCAGGGCATCGTACAATCCTGGACGCTGCCGGGGTCCCCATAGCAGAATGGGGTTGCTGAGTGCCGCATTGGCTTGGTCATGGACATCGCCCGCACGTCCATGATTCATGCCCATGCGCCCCATTTTCTGTGGCCCTTCGCGGTTCGCTACGCCGCTCACCAGCTGAACCTCCAGCCGTGCGTCTCGCGGCCAGAGGCTTCACCGACCAGTCTTTGGACCGGGTCCCCTGGTGTTGGGTCAGCCTTTCGTGTCTGGGGCTGCCTTGCGCTTGTCCGCGACACCTCTGCGGACAAGCTCTCGGCTCGTGCCGTCCCCTGTGTCTTCCTTGGTTTCCCGGTAGCCTCGCCCGACTGGTCCTTTTACCACCCGCCCCTTCACCAGTTCCTAGACTCCCGTGACGTCTGGTTCAACGAGTCAGTATCCTACTACACCCGGTACCCCTGTAGAGGTCTCTCGGTTCCCTCTCCTCCCCCTTTCCTCGCACCCTCTCTTCCCCCTGCTCCCGCTCCTCCGGTACCCCCACCCCCCCTGGTCCTGCCCCGTCAGGTGTGTCTCACGCTACCCCTCTACCCTCGGTCGCACGTCAGGTAGCATCTCCCTCCCCGCAGTCCTCCTCACTGTCCCCTCAGCAGCCTTTGGCACTTCCACGACAGGTTAGTGTGGACTCGGTTGGTGTTGGAGCTGGAGGTGCAGCCACTGGCGGTACTCGGTCTGGGGGTGCTTGTTCGAGGGGTGCTGGAGCTGGAGGTGCTGGCACTGGAGGTGCTATTTCTGGGGGTGCTAGAGGTGGAGGTGCTGGCACGGGTTGTGCTAGTTCTGGGGGTGCTGGAGTTGGAGGTCCTGGCACTGGGGATGCCAGGACAGGGGGCGCTGGAGCTGGGGACCCTGACCTTGTTGGTACCCCTTCTAGGGACACTGGTTCTGGGGGTGCTAGTTCTGAGGCGACTGGAGCTGGGGGCACTACGTTTGCGGAGAGCACTCTGCCTCCCCACAGCCATGACACGCGTTACCAGGCGGCCTGCCGGCGTGCGCGCGAGGAGCAGGAGCGGTTGGAGCGGGAGCGGCAGGAGTTGCGGCAGTTGGACCTGCTGGAGCAGCATCAGCAGTGGCAGCAGCGGCAGCAGTAGCAGCAGCAGCAACAGCAGCAGCAGCAGCAGCGGCAGCCGCAGCAGCAGCCACCGCAGCCACAGCAGCAGCAGGCGCCGCCGCCACCGCAGCCGCAGCAGCTCCCTCTGGAGTGGCAGTTGTTCCCGCCCATGAGTGGCCTCCGGGCCCTTGGTCTTCCCTCCTCTCCTCCTGTCCGCTCTCCGTCCCCTCCTGCGTTTGGTCCTACGTTTTCTCCTCCTGAAGCCTGTCCGGCGGTCTGGTCTTCTCCTCCACCGCAGTCTCCTCCTCCTGTTGTCCATCACTACCGTTCCCGTCCTTGTCCTCCGAGTGCTCGTCCCGCGTCCCCCGTTACCGACCTCCACACTGCCCTCGTTTGTACCTCTCTTCGTCGTTCTCCTCCTCCGGTGTCAGTTCTCCCCTCTCCTCCTCCGTCTCCCCTACTCCTATCTTCGACTACTACCGTGCTGTTTGCCCTGTTGTCTCCCGCGTTCTAGCCACTGGTGTCACCGACCCTCGCTTCTCTCCGTCGTCTGTCTCGGCTCTCACTGTCGCTGTCGCTGACTTTACCACCGCCAGCCATCTTCACTACAACACTCGTGTGGTGCGATGCTTGGTGGGCGCCGACGTCACTGTTCGCACGGACCACAAGTCCCTCCAATATCTGCGAGCTCAGCCCAACCTCAACCCGCGACAAATTCGGTGGCTAGACTACATGTAGAGCCACTTGACCTACCGCATCACGTATAAGAAGGGGGCAA